GTGTGTGTAGATGTACCAAACATATACTACCGAAATAAAAATATACCATCTGACCCATTTAAAAGCATTTAACAATCTAATAGTCTGGGTATCACACTAATGTGTTTATAAGGTGTGTTAAATCGTGAATGCTGTGCTACATACACAACAACAGCCTCATCTTGTTGATCCTCTGGAGGGATCTGGAAAGAGGAGCAGGTGTAGTGGAAAACAGTGCTGCATTCTCGTAGAGCCTGTGGTGACCTGCAGTATTCCTCTCTCAGAGACTCCTTGAGGCCTGATGCATATGCAGGGAGAAGCAAGCACAAGTTTAGATCACATTCACTGCTGACCATGCTTTTCCACTTGGCCTCCATCACATCTGCATCTCCATTAGGAGCGGAAGCTGCAGTCCAGTAGAGGTGGTTAATAACAGCTGGCCTTCACTGCTTCAGATCTTCACACTCCCTCATTACTTGCAATGTCTCCCAAACCCGATGCAGGTGCTGTGTGCATGAGCTCTGAGTCTCACTCGCTTCTTGCTTGAACTGCATCATGTCGCCGGGATGATAATCCTCCTGTGTAAAGTGATCGCTAAATTACACACCACCGCGTTTCTCGAAGCAGATGCATTGGTGAAGTCTTGTTTCTTCACCTGCACAAACACACCCAGACCCGGAAGATACCATCCTTTTTCTTGTTAGGAAACCTGTGGACTCGATGTACTGACAGGCTGGAGTTAGTGCAACCTCCACAAACACAATAATTTACCATGACGATGATAAATTGATATAAAAATAACTACCGAAAACACACTGACTCACGCCCGCTCAAAGCAGAGCGCGGCACACGACTCCCTCTCATGAGGTAATATGACACGATGTTAGAAAAAAAACTTTTTTTGAGAACTGTCAAGGAAACCGTCACTTTTTCTTCTAAATTTGTGCCCTCACGTCTTGTGAAACATTTTCAAATCCTGCATTAACGGTTCATATGGTATTTCCATACAAGGTTATATATTAATTTGAAATTTTTTACCTGCAATATGCACTTTAACAAACCATTAAGTACGGCTTTTGCCTCAATAAACTCCTAATATGCTTCTTATTAATTGTTAGTAGTTGTTAAGTTCAGGTATTGGCTAGCATTAACCATAACTCCTACAAAAACAGCCAGAAACCTTGGAGTTATGATTGATGATCAGCTGAATTTCTCAGACCACCTTGCTAAAACTGCCCGGTCCTGCAGATTTGTTTTATTCAACATCAAGAAGATCAGGCCCTTTCTTTCAGAACATGCTTCACAACTCCTTGTTCAAGCTCTTGTTCTGTCCAGGCTGGACTATTGCAATGCTTTCTTGGCAGGTCTTCCAGCCAGTTCTATCAAATCTTTAATTAATTCAGAACGCGGCAGCAAGATTAATTTTAACGAGCTGAAAAGAATGCATGTCACACCTCTGCTTATTAATTTGCACTGGCAACCAATAGCTGCTTGCATAAAATTCAAGGCATTGATGTTTGCCTACAAAACCACCACTGGCTCTGCACCCCTTTACCTAAATTCATTACTTCAGACTTATGTGCCCTCTAGAAGCTTGCTTTCTGCAAGTGAATGTCGCTTGATCGTGCCATCCCAAAGAAGCACAAAATCACTTTCTCTGACTTTTTCATTAAATGTTCCCTCCTGGTGGAATGACCTGCCCAACTCAATCCAAGCAGCTGAGTCCTTAGCCATCTTCAAGAAACGGCTAAAAACACATCTCTTCCATCTTTATTTGACCCTCTAACTCTAGCACTTTCTAATTCTATAAAAAAAAACACTCACTAGCTTTTCTATTCTTTTTCTATTCTGTTGTCTTTTATTTATTATATAATAATAATAAAAAGCCCTTGCTAACTGAGACTTGTTATAACTTGCATATAATTGCTCTTTTGTTGATTTTGATTGCTTCCATTGTCCTCATTTGTAAGTCATTTGGATAAAAGCGTCTGCTAAATGTCTAAATGTAAATGTAAATGGATTAGGGATGTAGAATATGGTCTTCAGAATAGGTGCTTTATAAGTTTTAATAAACAGCCAATATGTTAATAATAGGTATTCTAATAAGTAACTAGTTAATAGTGAGAATTGTTCCCTATACTAAAGTGTTATCACATTGACTTACACTGCAAAGTTTTCCTTGACATCACCATTTTAGGGCATGTGAGTTCCTGAACGTGATGAATGATGGGATGCGCCTAGCCTCAAATTACACTCTGTTGTGGTATTAGAGATAGTTTGAGTTTAGTGTGTGTTAAGGCCACTAGCGGCGTTCCTCTTGTTACTTAATTTGTATCCAATACATGTTAAGAGATGCCTAGTTTATTCTAAGCGCACTGTCTCTTTTATCTGGGGCATGAGTGATGCCCCATTCACGAATGAATCACTCTTTTGAGTCGATTCTGTTCAAGGCCTTGAACAAACAAGCTTGCAAAATGGTCTGAATTGGTTCGTGAATCACTTTGAATGATTTGTTCAGTTCCCTGCAAGTACTGAATCGTCTTATATGGTTTCTCATTCGTTCTGGGTAATAAATACAGTACATATACTAGTAGCTGGGTATGAGCCTAAATGATGGTAGAATTTAATATCCACCTACATTATTCACTTCAGGAAGCAACAGTGTTATACATTTACCTGCCTGAAGCCCACAATCTAGTTCCTGTAGTGTAAAAAACACAATAAGGTAAGAAATGACATACACATTTTTGTGTATACTGAGATAAAAGACTGACGTGTGGACCGGGATCCTTACACTTTTAGTTTTCCAAAGGAAGCTTTATATTTTCCCTTACCAGGCTGGGACTAACCCCTATAATCTAATATATATATATATATATATATATATATATATATATATATATATATATATAT